TTAGTATAAGGATAACATAGGGTCTTACAATATAACTTGTGTAGTGTGTTGTGTATCTTTAATTTATTCAAGGTATGTTTTTTCGTTCAACCCTCCATTACATATTATTATTCTTTTCAATAATGAGTATTTCAAAACAAACCATGGATGAAATCAATAGTAAACTTAACCAAGATATTGAATTTGTTGAGCGTGTTTTCTCTGGAGGAAATACAAAAGCGATTTTAAACTTTGGTGTTTTGAAATAACTATTCAAATTCAAATTTATAGATTAATAAGAATAAAAACATAATTAGAGATTTTTTTTGAGACAATATTTAGGTATACAAAAATTACACACAATTTTTTTTATTTATAGATGATGGATAACACTGAAAGTATCATACAAGAAAATCAGATTTCATACATTAGACATTTGGTTATACAATTGAAAACAATGTCCGAGTATATTGCAATATTTGGAAGTCAATTCAAAGAAGATGCTTTAAGTCAGGGTTGAATGAACCCACCGGGATACCGGGAAATTCCCGGTGGACCGATCGGAGTGTGAGCCGATCTTTAGCAACAGGAGGACACTGTAAAAACAGCTAAAACTTTTTTTTTTCTTATAAATCATCCTGTATCTCAGAAACTAATAGAAATTTGGCAACAACGAAAATATGTATATTTAAAAAAAAAAATAAAAATTAATCACCCTCATGTTACCGTTTCTTTTATACCTACATACCAATGATGGCCCATGGTATTTTAGACACCCTGTAGAGGCATCTTATTCAAGGCATAGAGATATTTGTGTTGATTTTTCATGTTTGATCCAAACAATTTTTTCGAACTAATGGCAGACGATACTTTGAATGAATTAGGTAAATTACTGACTGGAATATGATGACGGGGCTGTTTTGCGGGAGGAATTGAAGGATTTTGGAAGAAAATGGCCTGACTCGAAGAAGTCGGAGTTGTATGACTCTGAATCCAACGATGGAGATAAAGACGGTGTAATGACACAAGGTTGGATACAGGGAATGACTTGGAACTTTCTAAAAAAAGTGTTCATCACATTCATGTTGCAATAAAAGTTTGGTTTACTGTTTCAATGTTTTGTATAAATACAGATTATACATTCGTGCTTGCAAGCTTGTAGTCATGATAAAAGGCCTTTACCAGTATGTCCTTATTTTACAGGTAGGGTGCGAAAAATGATTTTCAACACTTGACTTACAACGGAAAATTTGGATGTGTTGGTGATAATGATATCTTAGGGTTGTTGATGGATTTATGGGGCACATCCTCACACTTAGATGTGATCGAATGATAAATTAACAACACTGATACAACAATAAATGCTGAATGGAAACGCATGCAGAATAAAAAATTAAAAAATAACTCTTACAGTCATATTACATTTTTGTTTTACCTATTTATTTCAACCAATCAAAATGATAATATTTTCTTGAATGGGGGGCTCAGGTTAAACATTTCCTGATTTCCATAGGAATTCTTCTCAAAAAAGACATATTAGGGTTGCTGACTTTTGAGAAGGTTTCTCATGGAAATCAGAAAATATTTAACCTAAGCCCCCCATTCAAGAAAATCATTTTGACTGTTTGAAATAAATGAATCAAAAATTGTAATATGACTATGAGTTATTATATCATTTTTTATTCTGCATGCCTTTCCATTCAGCATTAATCGTTTTTTCACTGTTGTTAATTTATTATTAGATTACATCTAAGTGTAGGGATGTGCCCCATAAATCCATCAATGTATGGGCCGCTACACTGAAATTTCCCGGCCCAATTCCAAACGTTCGTCCAACCCTGCTTTAAGTTATCAAAAATTTAAAAATGACTCAATCAATTTTTCAAATAGGGCACTAATACAGTGAGCACGTAAAGGTTGGAATAAAATCTATAAAATATACAGGGTGGATATTTTGCAAAAAACCTCGGACACGTCGATTTTTGATTTTAGTGGCCGTTTTTTTGATGATAATACCATGTATACATGGTGATTCAGAAACAAGTTATGACAGCTCACTCTATTTTTTTAAATGAAAACACCAGTTTTTTATTTCATTTTTAAATTCTACGTTAAATTCTGAACCTATTTCATGTATCATGTCCTATACCTATTTCAACTGTTTCGGAAATATTGACAGTTGAAAATTGACTTTTTTGCAACTTTGACAGGCTATAGAACCTGAACGGTTAATTTTAGAGCAAAACCGATCATACATTCTTAGTTTATCATAAACTATCATTTGACACCAACTTTGAGTTTAATCTATGGTTAAAAATTCCGGCTAAATGTAATCTCCGATTGAATTCAAAGTAAGTAAAATGTATGATCGGTTTTGCTCTAAAATTAACCGTTCAGATTCTACAGCCTGTCAAAGTTGCAAAAAAGTCAATTTTCAACTGTCAATATTTCCAAAACAGTTGAAGATAGGTATAGGATATGATGCATGAAATATGTTCAGAATTTAACGTAGAATTTGAAAATGAAATAAAAAAATTGGTGTTTTCATTTAAAAAAATTAAGTTAACTGTCATAACTTGTTTTTGGGTCACCCTGTATATTTTATAGATTTTATTCCTACCTTTACGTGCTCACTGTATGTGAAAAATATGTACGTATTTGGCTATATTGATATCAATTCATTTCTTGAGGGAATGCTGAAGGAAGACCTGAAGGATTTTTTAATAAATATTCCATTTATTTCAAGTGACCTTGCCGCAAAGTATGATATTTATGGAGCTATTGGAGATGATGGAAGAATTATTTCAACCAATTAACAAAGGATGGATGACCGGAGGAAAGACCATACTTTTAAAATGTCAAAATTCACTTTTGTAAACAAAAAATAATAATCATAATTATTATCATTATTATAATTAGTATTGTACAAATAAAAAAATTATGTTACAAAATGCTAATTAATTATTTGAACTTATTTATTATATTGTTATTATTATTATTATTATTATTATTAGTATTATTTATTATTTGGTCTTATTATAATTATAATGCAGGTAATTATCCATTTTTAATTTTAAGTTTAACTTTAAAAATAAATGTATTATTTAATTAACCTCCAACTTGTATTTTAATATTCAATTATATCCTCAAGCACCCTGCTATAAAAAAACTTTTCACCAAACAATTTTTGTAAACATATTTTCTTCAAAAAACTACAATTATATCAAAGATAAAAAAAACAGTAGCTTTCATAAGGACGACCGCACCACTGCAGGTCAAAAATTTACGGGATTCTGTCTACCCTTGACCATCGAGTTTGATACAGTAACGAATTCATACAAATGGAGGCTTCACAATTTCAGATTTTTTAAAATAACTACTGATTTTTCATCCAACTGGATCTCCTAACATATAAATTAATGCTTGAAGCAATGAATTGACATTTTCATTCAAGAAGTACACATAAACGGAAGATGGAAACAGACTTGAACGATTGCAGTATTTGCCTGAATCTTATGGAAACTGGAGAAATTTGTATGCCGGAATCATGCAGACATGAATTTTGTTCAAAATGTCTAAAAGATTGGACGAAATCAAATTCTAGATGTCCGATTTGCCGAAAACGATATTTTGCAATTATTTTAAAGGAAAGATGGAATGATAATTTTCCTATTAATGAAGATGGCACTCTTGACTTAGACAGTATTTCGATTTCAGACTGGCTTTTAGATTAAGAAGTATTTTTTCCAATAATAAAATAAGAATTAAAAAAAGTGTTTAAATGATTTAGCCTTTTATAATACATTTGATTTTAATATCCAAGAATTGAATGAGTAATCCATTCAAAGCCATTTAACATACACTTTGTTTGCTTTTCATTTTATAATTTTTTCAATCAAATAAACGTCAGGATTTTGAACCTTTTGTAGCTCTTCTTTATAAAAACCACCTTCAATTTCATCTTGTTTTTGATCTTCCAAAATATATGTTGTAGGGTTGGTCATTTAATTTTTTTTTGATTTTAAATATGTCGTTAGACCAGTTTGGTGTGTATCCTTTGGAAAATAGTTCTCTATATTTACTTATTCTCACAAAGTCACCGATTTTGGATTTTGAAGTTCGAAGATCGATACTTTTTATATGTTTGTAAGTGTTTGAAAATATTTCCTTTTCGTTTTTCTTAGATATTTTAGATGGTTCAAGTCCCGTTGTAGAATGCTTTGTGTTATTGTATTCAGTCACTATTTTTGGTACAATATCTAATCATTTGTAATTTCCTTGTAAGCTGAATTGTTTCCACATTTTATTTTTCAATGTTCTATTTACTCTTTCCACAACACTAGCTTTTAAATTGGAAAATGTGCTGTAGTGACTACTTTGATATTGCTGCATGAGTTTTTGAAACTAATCACCATAAAATTATCTTCGTCTATCTGTATGCAAATTGAAAATGCATGAGTTTTTGAAAAAATCACCATAAAATTCTCTTCCTCTATCTGTATGCAAATTTCGTGAGGTAATTTTTGCATTGATGAGAACTTTTTTCATTGCTGCTGTCACATCCTTGCTGGACTTTGATTTTATCGGCTCCGCCCATACATACTTTGAAAACTCATTAATAACTATCAGAGTATATTTGTATCCTTTATTGAACTTAGCATAAGGTTGCATTTCAACCAGATCAGCCTCGAAGAGATTATTTAACCCTTTAATAATCACCCTTCTTCGTTTATATTTTCTTCGAGCAGTTTTGTGTAATTCATTAACTACTTGATCCTTAATGGCAGTCATTTTACATTTTTTTATTATGGTAGAGAATTTAGTTAGTACTGATCATGATTTGTTTTTGTAGCCTCATTTATTAAATTTTCTCAAAAAATAGTTATCAAAACAACTTTTGTAAAATTCCACCCATTTTTCCAATTTAGTAATTATGATTTTTTCATCTGTTTTCTTCAAATATTCAAATATCTTGTCAATTTCTTCATTTATATTATCAAGACAATTTTTAATGATGGTTCTTAGATATTTGTTTTATTTTCGACATTACCTAACCCTTCTACTTCTATTTTCTTTAATTCTTCATTTAATTTCCTAATTTTAGTTGGAACTGTAGATTCAAGAGATACTATCACCCGTCTTCTTGTCAACGGTACTTCCACCAGGTTTTGTCCATTGAGAAGATTATTTACTTTGTCTAGTTTAGCTGTATTTATATTTTCAATTTTATCTTCCACTTGTTCAATTTCTGCTTTGAGATTTCCAATTATTATTTCTTTAAGTTTGGTTCCAATAATTTCATTTATTTTGTCAATACCCATATTCAATTTTTTGTCCTCATTTTCGACATATTCTCTTAATAACTGAATATCTTTTTTAATTTTTTCAACTTTTTGATCCATTTTGGAATCTACATCAATTTTTAGATTTTTTATTTCATCAATTTTTTTTCCTAAATCTAAAATTTCCTTCGAAATATTCTTGAATTGATTTTCTAGGTCGGTAACAACTTTAGTAACCAGTTGTATCTTTGTCATTTCAGTTTCAAGTTTTAGTATTTCTTTTTTGCTTGAATTTTGCATTTGGGAAAATTTGGAAATTTCTATTGAAATATTATCAAATTGATTTTTGAAATAAGTAATCCGGTGTTTAAGCGTTTTTTTTTTATTGCGTAATATTAATCTACATCAACGTATTTTTTTATTTTGTTCAAAAGCTATCACTAACATTAAAAAAAGATTATTAAAATTCCTAATTTGAATTTCACTGTAAAGGGGCGCGTGACGTAATCGCCCGCAAGGGGCGTAGTACCACACAATTCCACGAGATGGCGCACTATCTTTTATAAAGTTTACAGTTTACTGTAGCATTTCGCATCTGTTCAGTCACTGTAAATCACGTCATCGTCGAGTCATCTTGTTGCTTGTTTATATTTCATTTAATTTTTTTAACACGCTTATATTAGCTTCACCCGTATATATTTGTATGTTTGTTTGTAAGAAACTCTCCTTTGGACTAAAAGCAAGTGGCTTAATACGGGCACATAGGAATGCGTGCGAACTTTTGGACTCTTGGGAAGTGTATGAACAAGAACCTGAAACAAGCCAAGTGAGCTGGAACAAGTCGAGCAAGTGTTTGGAAGAAGTCCAGAGAGGTCAGGAAAGGACTGGATAAGGTCTGAAGCAGTCTGTACAAGTCTGGATAAATCTGGATAAACCCTGGAAAAGTCTGTTAAATGTCTGGAAAAGTCTGGAAATCTCTAGAAACGACTGGAAAGTGCCTGGAAATTTCTGGAAAGGGTCGGAAAAATTCTAACAAAGGTCCCAAAAGACCCGAGGATCATTTTCAAGAATCCGGATCAGTCTGTACAAGTCTGGATAAAGTCTGTAAAACTCTGGATAAGTCTGGATATTGTCTGGAAACGTCTGGAAAAGACTTGGAAATTTGTGGAAAGTGTCGGAGAAATTCTGGAAAAGGTCCCAAGAGACCTGGGGATCATTTCCCAGAATCCGGATCGCTTTGAATAAGTCTAGATAAAGTCTGGATAAATCTGGATTAGGTCTGGAAAACTCTGGATAAGTCTGGATAATGTCTGGAAATGTCTGGAATAGGCCTGGAAATTTTTTGAAAGTGTCGGAAAAATTCTGGAAATGGTCCCAAAAGATCTGGGGATCATTTTCCAGAATCCGGATCAGTTTGTATAAGTCTGGATAAATCTGGATGAAATCTGGAAAACTCTGGAAAGCTCTGAATAAGTCTGTATAATGTCTGGAAAAGCCTGGAAATCTAAACGTCTGGAAAAGGCTTGGAATTAACAGGCTTCACTAAAAAGTAAAAAATAAAAATAGTTAAAAAAAACTAAAAAACACACTACATCGAACTAAAAGTGAAAAAATAATTTTTATTATAAACAGAAAATAAACACATCAAAATAGTCTAGGGAACAAGATAATTCCTATACTTATCAGAAATTTTTGCTGATTTTATTTTTTAAATATTTAAACTAAATAAGCCGACATGGTAAATTTGACAAGATTTGTTCAATAAATAATACTCACTTTATCTTTTTTAAAAAGTTGTTCTTTCCTAAAATAATTGAAAGACAGATATTTCTTGTTCCCTAGACTATTTTGATGAGTGTATTAGAATTATTGTGAAAAAATCGTGGGGTGCTCTGTTCCACATTTCTCGTACATTGAGCACCCCATGCTTTTTTCTCAATAACTCTAATATTTTTTGTTCATTAATATATTCTGTTCATATTAAAAATTATTTTTCACTTTTAGTTCGATGTATTATTTTGTTATTCATTTTTTTAATTTGAAGAAAAAACTTCAATTCTTATTTGTGTTTTGTTTATATTTGGTGGGATTATTGAGATTATGGGAGGAATGGTTGACATTGTTGACATAAAGACACAATCACACTACAGCCACACCAAAAAATTATGGTTGACCGGTGCGACACCTGGAGCGCCCGAAGTACTTTCTGAACGGCACAGAGTGCGCGCACTCGGTGTGCCTATAGCATTTATGAACGGCTAGTGCGTCGCACCGGTGTCACACTCACATTGAGTGTGTCATTCCTGAATTCGCCCCAGAGATTTCCAGACTTTTGCAGACAATATCCAGACTTATTCAGAGCTTTCCAGAGTTTTCCAGATTTCATCCAGATTTTTCCAGATTTGTACAGACTGATCCGGATTCTGGAAAATGATCCCCAGGTCTTTTGGGACCTTTTCCAGATTTTTTCCGACTCTTCCAAGAAGTTTCAAGGCCCTTTCCAGACGTTTCCAGAGATTTCCAGACTTTTCCAGACAATATCCAGACTTATCCAGAGTTTTACAGACTTCATCCAGACCTTATCCATACGTGTACAGACTGCTCCGGATTCTAAAAAATGATCCCCAGGTCTTTCGGGACTTTTTCCAGAATTTTTCCGACCCTTTCAAGAAGTTTCCAGGCCTTTTTCAGACGTTTCCAGAGATTTCCTGACTTTTCCAGATAATATCCAAACTTATCCAGAGCTTTCCAGAGTATTCCAGACTTCATCCAGATTTATCCAGACTGGTTCAGACTGATCCGGATTCTGGAAAATGATCCCCAGGTCTATTGGATTGGGACCTTTTCCAGAATCTTTCCGACCCTTTCCAGAAATTTCCAAGTCTTTTCCAGACGTTTCCAGAGATTTCCAGACTTTTCCAGACAATATCCACACCTATTTGGAGTTTTACAGGCTTTATCCAGATTTATCCAGACTTGTACAGACTGATCCGGATTCTGGAAATGATCCCCAGGCCTTACAAACAAACATACATACAGGTGAAGCTAATATAGGCGTGTTAATTAGCAAGAGGTAAGGCACAAAATGGCGACGGAACCTCTATTGTCGCCAGTGTTTTTAAAGGCCTATTTAGTCACTGTAAGTACAGTGATCTCCTAGCGCCATCTATTGGACTATTATATTTGATAACAAAAAATGATCCTTCAGTGGCGCCATCTGTTGATGATTCTCTGCACTGGCGGGCAGTGACGTCATAATCTTTTGGCGTCCGTTTGAGTTGGTGGGTAATGATATCAAATTTTATTATTTTTTGCTTTTTTAACTGTGTCGTTCAGGTATTTATTTTTTCATCATAAGGGTTTATTTTGATTGCATAAATCGAACAGTGCAATGAAAATAGTTAAGTTCAACTATGCTTAAACACCGGATTCCTTTAGTATTCATTTTAATGTCATTAATATCAAGTTTAAGCTGTTCTATTTCTTTTTTGCCTGAAATTTTTGTGGAAGACAATTCTTAAACTTGTTATAAAATTTTATTTAATTTTTCTTTTAATAATTCAATATCCTTTGTTCCATATTTTCTGATTTGTTCAACTTTTTGATCAATTTTGAAATCTACGTCTTCATCAACCTTTAGATTTTTTATTTCATAAATTTTCTTTCCCAAATCTAAAACTTTCATTGAAATAATCTTGAATTGATTTTCTAGGTTGGTAATCACTTTAATAATCGATTTTATTTCATTGGTTTGGTTGCAAGTTTCAGTTGTTCTTTCACCTTTGAATTTTATACAGATGACAATTTTGAAATGTTCCAATGAAATATGATTTAATTGATTTTTGAAGTCAGTAATTTCTTCAGTATTCATTTTAATGTCATCTATTTCAATTTTAAGCTTAGGTACTTCTTCTTCACTTGAACTTTGTATCGATGTTAGTTTTGGAATTTGTGTCCTAATTGTGTTTAATTGCTCCTTTGAAAATGTGATATCCTCTGTATTTTTTTTTTCGTAGTAGTGCATTCAAATTTTAAGTTCTGTCTAAGCGCTTTATATTTTCATCAATATTTTCATGATTATTTTTGAAGTACTTTACTTCTTTCGTAACTCTATCATAAACTTTGGTTGAAAAATTTTCAAACTTTGATTAAGATTATCTTCTATGCTTTTTTGAACACTATCGATTTTTATTGTTCCATTCATGACGGTTTTTAATTTTGTTATTTCGGTCTCAAAATAATTTTTCAAATCAATAACCTCATTATGATATTTTGTTATCGTTTCAATATCACCTTCAGATTTCGTTAGCTTTTCATCATTTTTTTTTTGTTGATGCACTACAATAATCAATGTTTTTTTTTAAATCATTTTCAAGAAGCTTATTTTTTTTGCAGTATTTTCGATTTTTACATCGTTCTCCTTCAACCTTTCATCAGCATTAATCACATCCTGTTTTAATCTATTCTCAAAATCTTCATTTATTTTTTTTCCAAAATAAGTTTTTCAAGTTGTTTAAAATTGTATTTTCAACAGTAGAAAAATCGATATTTTCTAGTGACGTTTTATTCATTAAATTACGTTTCGAAATATGACGACCGAATTTACTGTCATGATTCATTGATGATAAGCAACTGTAATGTTTATGTAGTTTTAGATATTTATAATATTATATTGGCCTCTTTTAATTCCTCAATAATAGATAAAATTTTATTATGATGTGCAGTGTTTCCTGCATTAACAGATGCTACTGAAAAACGCAGTCTATCAACAAGTTCGTTTACATCATTCCAGTACACATAGTCTGTGTTTGTTTTATTTCTTTTTAAAGTAAATCCTTTACCTTAAGTAACTTTACGAGTACTTATACGATATGGGGCAATGGGTTTTTCGAATGCAGTAGTTGGTCTAACGGGATTTATTGTTTTAGATTTTGTAATTCCTTTCTTTTGAAGATATGGACCTATAATTGTAACATATTTCGTCGATCCGGTTCCTTGAACTTGTTCATTGGGGTTATTATTTCTACGGTATGCATTATTTCCAAAATCTCCATATAATTATCCAAGTCTTTGGGTTTGAAGCCAACAGGTTCCTTTTTAAAAAGTAATTCGTATAAACCCACAGTACCCTCATAAGTTCTACCCTCTACTACAATATTTTTACCAACTATTTTCACTGGTTTCTGTGTAAGACCCAAAAAAAATTTTCCACCATCAATATCATGAACTAGTCCCCATAATTATGATCGAATTTATGTTCTGTATCCCTTACGCTTCCATCAATATAGCATCTAGGTAATTTATGAAAATCTGACAAATACACTTGGTATGATGGAGAGTATATAATTTTTAATTGATTGCTTAGTTTGTTCCAATATATCGGACAAATTTGAACTTTCACTAGTACTACCTTTTGGAGAAGAATTAGTTCCAGCTAAAACAGTTGTTTCCTGTATAGAAGGAAATTGACTAACAGAAGCAACACTAGTATCAAAAAATGATGGTATCTTTGATGGTAAAAGAGTTTTTCCTGTTTTTCGAACTATTCTTGCTTTGTGTTGAAGTTTCGTAATTTTTTTTGGTGTTACAAATTCTTCTTTTGAACTGAAAGGTTCTTCTTTCAGTACTATCGGTTCACCTATAGTAGAAATTAGTTGTTTCAATTGTGACAAGTTGTCAAAATTGAAAACGAGTCAAAAATTTCTACCAAATTTTTACATATTTTTACACTATTTATAGAAGTTTAAGAAATATTTTAAGTACAACAAGATATCATCCAGAATCCACTAAATCCAAATCAACCAAAGTTTATTCCAAAAGAAATACGTTTTCCGAGAAATTTAGAAATTCGAAAATAATGTCGACGGATGGAGATGAAGTTTTCAAAAAATTTGATATTGAGAAGGATGGAAATTGTTTATTTCGTTCAGTAAGTCTTTTTCTCAATAAAACTCAAGAAAAACATAAAATTTTAAGAAATGAGAGTTCGAAATTTATCTTTGACAACTGGGACCATTTCAAAATTTTTACCTGCAAAGAAAATTCTCAAAGCGATGATGTAGTATATCCTTCTAAGGAAGAATATTACCTCAACATGAGCAAAGACGGAGTATATGGAACATCAGCAGAATGTCTTGCCTTATCTGAAATACATAGTTTAAATTTCTACATTTATACCCAATCGCAAGTACTTTCAATTCGTGACACATTACATATGAAACCAATTTTATTATCTACAAAATCATACATCAAATCCATAAAACTGTTATTTAGTGGAAATCCAAAAAGCGGCCATTATGACTTAATTGAGAAGCATGATTTCATTCCACAAGATACCTCTAAAAAATGTCCCTTATGTTTGAAATTTTTCAAAAATTCAAATGGATTAAAAATTCATAATTCAAGAATTCACTCCAAACAACGACATTTTAATTTACCAAACACAGATGTACCTGATATGGTCAGTGTAACGAATTCTGAAGAGTCATCGCAAAATTTACCAAGTACTTTCCATCAAGAACAATCCCAAATAGATAATCACAATATAGATTTATTAAGTTTTCTCTCCAACTTAAAGGGGGTGTGCGCCAAAAAACAACTTCATCTCAAAAAAAAGAGAAAAAAAATCTATGAATAACAGTGAAATCCGCACCCCTCTATGACAAATAATACCGCAGATATGGCTCTATAAAGGTACCGCATCTCACCCTATGACGTCACGAAAGCTCAAGCGACGCACGAGAAAGTGGATTTAATTAAATTTACATAATGTTTTTCCTGTGTTACCTGCAATAATCTAAACAAAAACCACTCACGCGTGCCGGGAACAATCAAATTAACAATGCAGAGCGCCGCTGGACGAAGTTTTCGTGACGTCACGAGAGCGTCGTCCACACTTTAAAGCGGTATATCTCAGCGATGGTTTATCGTAGAATAACGAGGTTTGAACAGTTATTCTTAGATTTTTTTACACTAAAACTTTAATTTTTGGCGCACACCACCTTTAAAATCATCAGTACCTGTCATAAAAATTATTCCAAAAGGAGTTAGGATTCCTATTTCCGAAGAACTTAGCTCAATTTTAATGCAGTGTGTTTTGAAAAATGATGTACATTCTTGGATGTTACTTCCCTTTTTTCCATATTCTGTTTTGGCCCTACCTGAAAATTCTAAACTGAACCGAAAATCTTCATTGACAAGTTTAGTCAAGAAGAACCTTTCGTTATGGATTAAAAGCAAAAAACTTTCCACGTTTGATTTTCTTGAGCAATATAAGAAACCTGAACAAAATAAAGAACAACTCAAAACCCTTAAGAATTTTAATCAAGATAGGTTTTTGGCAAAGAAAATACAATCCAAAATTTCAGAAGGAGACGTGAAGAATGCTATCCGAATATTGACGTCAAACGATACTTTTGCACCAAAAAATGAAGAAACCCTCTTAAAGTTGAAAGAAAAACATCCAAATCCAGATATTAGCGATAAAATTCCAGTTTTCGAAAATATTTCTAATCAAAATTCTTTAAGTGTAACTGAAAAAGAGGTAAAAAACGCCGTTTTCTCTTTCAGTCCTGGTTCCTCCGGTGGTATCGATTCCCTTAGACCACGCCACCTCAAAGATTTAGTAGGTTACAAACTTGGTACAAATTCTAAATTATTATCATCTCTTTGTTTATTCATAAATCATCTTTTTTCTGATATTATACCAGAAGATATACGCTTAATTTTTTATGGCGCAAACCTTTGCGCTTTTAACAAAAAAAAGTGGAGGTATACGTCCTATTGCAGTCGGACTTTGCCTTCGTCGTCTAGCAGTTAAAATAATTTGCTCTCGAGTTTATGATAAACTAGGAAGCCTTTTCAGACCTTTTCAAATAGGATTTGGTACGAAATGTGGTACGGAAGCGGCTGCCCATGCAATGCGGAGGTACCTCAATTTTCCTCATTCTTCTGACAAAATTATTTTAAAAATTGATTATCAAAATGCTTTCAACATGGTAAATAGAAATATAATTTTAACGAAAGTCAAAGAATATCTTCCTGAATATTTTCATTTTATCTATCAATGTTATAGCGATAAAACTTTTCTTTCATATGGCAAAGAAAATATCTTCTCTAGACGGGGCGTCCAACAAGGAGATCCTTTGGGTCCTCCATTATTTTGTTTGGCAATTCACAGCATAGTGTCTTCTATAAACTCGCTCGATTTAAATTTGTGGTACTTGGATGACGGCACTTTGGCAGGAGATCCCGAAAATGTTTTAGAAAATTTTAAAAAATTAATTTCTGCCAGTCAAAATATCGGCCTTTCTCTAAATTTTAATAAATGCGAAATATCTACTATATCATCAAATCCTTCATCTATAATATCCGATTTTCACGATATTGCCTCAAATTTATTAGAAGTTCCAATTTCCAATTTTAATTTGCTCGGATGCGTTTTCTCACCTGAGCAAATTAATTTGAAAGTTAAAGATAAAATCAATTTTCTTAACAAAATGCGTGATAAACTAAAATTACTTGATTCACATGTGGCCTACTTTCTGTTAAAATCATCTTTTTCTATACCTCGAATCTCATATTTACTGCGATGTGTTCCTTGTTGGAAAAACCCGGAATCATTAGAAGAATATGACACTATTTTACAAAACTGTCTTCAGGATGTTACGAATTGTCCGATCAGTTCAAAATCATGGAGCCAAAGTACACTTTCCGTAAAATTGGGCGGCCTCGGAATAAGGGATGCCAGTACATTATCAATATCTACTTTTTTGGGCTCCATTAATGATTCATCTAAACTACTTAATAGTATTTTGCCTGAAAATATTTCAAATTTCTGTGATTTAGACCTTGATTTATGCACTGAAAAATGGCTTTCGCTTTCAAATTTAAGTTGCGTTCTTGAAGAATTTAAAAAATCACAAAAAGATTTTGATTTTTCAATGTGTCAATTTCGCAAACAACAACTTTGGTCTGAATGTCAAACAAATGAAGACCGGCGCGTCTCCTAGCTCTTCAAGCTCCTGAATCCAGTGCATGGCTCAATGCTCTTCCGTCCGCTTCCTTGGGAAACCAGCTGGATAATACATGTTTCCGAATATCAATTGCAATTAGACTTGGTTTGCCTGTGGCTGTGGAGCACCCCTGCATTTGCGGCGAAACAGTAGATATATATGGCTAGCATGGGCTTAGCTGCAAAAAGAGTGCAGGTCGTGCTTCCAGGCATAGTCAAATCAATGGCATAATTAAGCGTGCTTTGATTTCTGCTGAACACCCAGCAGTTTTAGAGCCGCTCGGCATTTGTAGAAATGACGGTAAGAGAGCGGATGGAATGACTTTGATCCCATGGAAACAGGGAAAGCAACTGATTTGGGATGCAACATGTAGCCATACCTTGGCAAAATCCTATCTAGACAGAACATCGAAAGCACTTGGGTCAGCTGCTCTACTTGCTGAATCTAAAAAGCATATCAAATATAAAGAGCTGGAGGATCGCTTTGTTTTTGTTCCCATCGCCATAGAGACATTGGGTCCTTGGGGAGATGAGGCTAAGAGGTTGGTCCAAGAGATTGCTTCCAAGATCCCTTGTCAGCGGTCTCTTAGCTTCATCACTCAGAGGATCAGCTTAGCTGTGCAGCGTGGCAACGCAGCCTCTGTAATGGGTACCATCGGGGAAGACTATGGACTGGAAGAGATTTTCGAAGTTTGACACTTCTTTTATTTATTTATTTATTTATTTATTTATTTATTTATTTATTTATTTATTTATTTATTTATTTATTTATTTATTTATTTATTTATTTGTTTATTTATTTATTTATTTATTTATTTATTTATTTATTTATTTATTTATTTATTTATTTATTTATTTATTTATTTATTTATTTATTTATTTATTTATTTATTTATTTATTTTCATTTTACTTATTTTGTTTTATATAGTTATACATTAGTAATTAATTAATATCCTTGACTGACATTATGTATTCCCAGTAGCCTGGGTTAAATTAAAAGTTGTTTCCGTGGTTGTGTTATTGGTTTATAGGTTTGTTCCAATTGTCATTGTCTTGTCGTGTTTGCTAGTTTCAAATTATAATATTTTTCTTTCACTGATTTCCTAGATTTAAATAACTCCTTTGCTTAACGTTCATCCATCTTAGACAAGTTCTTAATGAGAACAAATAGTGGAAAAGTGCACTTTCATAGATATATGAAATTATCAAATTTATTTTTATATCTACCTGCATCTATTGCACAATCTTAATCAATTAAAAAAAAAAACCATATGGATCTTCTCAACAAAAACTGCACATATTCTTGAACTGCTCAAATGTCATATCCATCATGCAATGATCATTTTATATATGTTTTATACCCATAGAATATTACTTGAATAAAATTAAAAGATTTGTATTTTCGCGGATTAAACGTTTAAGAATTGAAGATTAGCCTTGGAATATAAGAAAAACAATCAGTATTCTGATGTCTATATTGCGTGAAATATTCTCTCACAACACTTTGGTTTTGACAGGGAATGTCATCGAAAATTATAACTGAATTTGGTTTTATATCTTGGGGAGAAATGATACTTTTATCATTATCATATTCGTGATAACCGATTTCTTTTATAGGTTCCAAAAGTTTTTTCAAGTATACATATTTTGGTTGGTTTATTGATTTTGAATTAACGTAAACATTTTCAAATCTAATACCATTAGGATGTTCGAGTAAGGTGAGCATCACATTAGTTTTACCAGAACCACTACAACCGACAAAGAGCCCTCTTTTTGATCCTCCACAAAATAAATCAAATAAATCACCATGTTTTCTAAATTGTTTTGTTAATACTTTTTCATCATGATTAGTTACAGGTAAAGAGAATTTTTGCTTTTCAATCCCCATGTTTCAATATTACTGATGTCTTTTTCCTAAGTATGAAAGTATTTATGACAAAGTCACGCTGAATTTTGAATCAGTATCGGATTAATCTCTTTATTGATCATACACATTATTACTCAAAACAAAAAACTTAAAAAAGAATCAGGTTCAGTTAACAAATTAATTGATAAGCTTCTATTTGAGCTTCATATACCCTGCGGATATAACTATTGTGGCCCAGGAACATTAATTTAAAAATAAGATTAGCTAGGGGTGATAGTGGTATATATCCGTTGGATGTTGCATGTT